ACAGGGGCTTGTGCGGGGCTGCACCTGCCTCTGGTTCAGGACAGTAGGGAATTGCTCTGGCCAAAAATTGCTCAGGCCCTTTACACAGGAGCAAGTCTTTCTGTTTACATGGCTCATACCACCCTCCAGAGAACTGCCTCCAGCCCCTGACCCTCTGTATTCCCTTAGCGCATCTCTAGGCTTGGGTGCCACTTATCTGCCCTTGGGAGATGGCCCCACTGACTCTGAGTTTAAGGGTTACCTTGGGGCCAGTAGCTCCAGGGAGGCCATGCGCACCAGGCACGCCTGACTCGCCCACCTCACCCTGAGGAAGAGAAGAAAGAAAACAGAGGAAGAAGCAAACACAGTGAGCAGCAAGAAAAGGAGCCTGTGGGATGCCTGAAAGGTCAGCAAAGATGTGAGAGGGATGTCCCGCACAGAGGTGCCCACCACACACAAACCTACCATCTGGGTCTCTCTGGGAGAGGAGCACCATTCTGCATGAAGAAAGATATTCAGGGTGCGAAACGTATGGATTGAAGGGAATGGTCCCACGATCCTATATCATATCAGAGCTAACACCTTTGCTCAACTCTTTGCCCTCTTTTCCCTTTCCCCTGACCCACTCACCAGGAGGATTTTCTCCCCTACTTTCATCCATTCCTTCCACCTTTCCCAGAGAAAGGTCACAACCTCAGGCTCATTCCTCTGAGATCAGTGCAGGCTCTTTGCTTGGTAAGTAAATTAGCCAGACAAGTTGTTTCATGTAAGAGGAGCTCATAGGAGAGGCCCTCGCTGCGAGGTCATTGCAGGGATCCCCTCACCGCTGCTGAGAGCCGCCCGCCCAGCGCTCACACAACAGGATGGGATCTTAATGGAAAAACCGACAGTTCACTGGAAGAAAAGGCAATAAATTGCGTCTGTCTGCAGGAGTGGGCTGTGGTCCACAGGGGCTATAATTTCCACTTCCTGACATAACAAAAACTTCTCAGTTTATACAGAACTAATTAAAAAGCTCTCAGGTCTTGCCATTTTGCTCGCAAAGCACCCATAAAGCAACATGGAGATAACACGGGACACAGGACTCCCACCTGCTGGGAACATCCGCCTTCCCCTTCTCCAGCTGACATCTCTTTAGCAGTATCTCTTCATTCCCTCTCCCCACCTTTGATCTTCCTTTGTGTCTTTTCCCTGTCTCTCTTTCTGTCTCTTCATTACACCCTCTGGGCTTCACAACCCTGCTGTTAATTAGCTGCTGCTGAAGACATTCAGGCATTGCCAGCTTCTGCCTTTTAACCTGGAGCAGGATCGACTCTTTCCTGCTTTATTCCAGAGAGCAATACATAGCTGTGGATTTGGCCCTTTCCAGCCTCCTGTTCAGGTCTGGATGCACAAGAGGTATATTTCAGCCTGGAAGTGGGTGTAGTGAGGCACACAGACAGGGAGACATCTGTACCATAGCTACTGGAGAGCTACATCTCTGGGTCCAACCTCTCCTTACATGGGTGACAGCAGGGGATCTGTGGGCCTGTCGCAGCCCCATGTGCAGCGGGAGCAGAGCTCAGCAGATGGCTCCAGAGAAGTCCAAAGATTTGCAGCCATGATTCCACAAGGCATCAGTACACCTTAATTCATTTAACAATATTGGAGCTCCCCTTCTTACCTTTCTGCCAGGGTATCCCTGAATCCCAGGGTCTCCCTGCAAAAGGCAAAAAGACAAAAGAAAGTGAGGCTTGGCCTGAGAAGGACAAATCCCTGCCCTTGTCCCTGGGGAGATGCTAGGATGCAAGGGCATTCCATGGGGAAAATTCACCTTTTGCTCAGTGACTTCACTGAGCCCCTGACCCTTCAGACCCGTGGGTCACTACTACCTGCACTGGACTGAGCTCTAGCAGGAAAGGCGCCATTAAGCACTGGCAGCTGGATAACTCATGCCAGCTCTGCGGTTCCTATCTCCTCACCCTGGCTAAATATCTCAAATAAAAACAAAGGGGGGGTGGGGGGGGTTGCAGCTGAAAAACAACAACAACCACCCCCCCACTCGCATTTTGGCAAGTGAATAAATGGGAAACTGCGGTGGAGTTAACAATAGCATTGCAAAATCAGTTCCTGAAGCGCTGGTAAATGCTTTGATTGTTGAAGAAGCCAATAAAGCTGTGTGTGGCAAAGAATTTTGCAAGAGGGGCTGATGAGGCGTGCCTTTCTCAGTCAAGATGCAACTCAGACGTGTCGCCTGGACAAAACCCATGAGTCAGCACACAGGCTGGGCCCCAAAGGCAAAACTGAGCTGGGTCAGAAATCTTTTTCAGCTATTTGATGTAACCTCCTTTCCCCCTCCTCCACCCGTTAAAATGTACATGTCTCTCCTTGCCAGGAGTGTCCACCTCTCTGTTTATCACCTTGCTCCCTCTAAGTGAGGCCAGACATCTCACCTTTGGTCCAGGAGGCCCAGGTAAGCCCTGTAGATAAAATCAAAACAGATGCTGGAGTTGGCAAATGTAGACAAGATTACATGGACTGCAGGGTGATGAGAGATGCTGACTGCTTTGGTCTGAAATGCCCCTTTACAAAGATGATTGACACTGGTAAGGTCAAACATCCCCAATCTATTCTTCACGTAGATGAATACTATCTTAACCCACACTCCCAAATAAATTCATGCCGATAGCACTCCATCCCCCCAGGCCTGGTCTCGCTGAATCTGAAGACCAAAAAGCTGCTTTGCCTTATGCATTGTGCTCCAGAATCTTTTCTGTTTCTCTGGCTTTGCTTGGGAAACTTGTTCCCAGCCCACTGTGCAGCTCTGAAGTAAATCAGGCATTTGCAGCTTCCTCTGACAAGCTAAATAGAGAGAATATATTAACAAACAAACCACTTGTGTCTTTAAATGAGAAATAACCAAACAATTTACCTGATACAAACCATGAAGTATACCGGGTATGCGTGTATGTAAATATCAATAAACAAAATATCCATACAGGAGCTGCCTTCCTGATGTGAGCAGATGGAAGGAGAAAACTACTCTAGATATGCTCTGATGCCTACACCCTTGCTGCTGCCTGCTTATAGCAATTCAAATGTTTAGCCATCACATCTTTGGCTCCTTAGAGCTCAAAGAGAGATGAGAATGCTTACAGGACACTCGACCCCTATATTGTGTGTGGAGAGGCGCTTTTGCCTCAGGGGACGAGACTTGCTTGTCCTGCTAGTAGGCCTTGAAAACTCTTGGAGATGGAAACTCCTTTCACACTGCAGTCGCTGCGGGGTCAGCGTGCCACGTTTCTCCCCGCAGCTCCCAGGAACAGAGCTGCTTTTTGGTACCCACCTTTCCGTCTCTGCCAGGCTTCCCAGGTTCTCCTGCTCTGCCCTGTTGCAAGAGAGAGGTACATTAGCAGGATTTTCTGCCCTGCCCCCTGCCATTTAGCAATGGTATTATTTTAAATGGTGCTCCTGTTTTCGCCCTCCTTAGCTGCTTGCTACCAGCCTGAGAACAGGACAGGAGCAGGACTTCAAAGGGGTCGCAGGGATTCTTATCAGTCAGGTTTCTGCTGTGAGCAGGATAATTACACCCTACGTGTTACTTCCTCCCTGTGACCGTCTGCAGAGGCTGAGGAGGAGGAAACAGGCCTGGTGTCACCCGCTCACACGTGCGTGTCCAGATAGCAACAGTGCAGGGCACACACCTCTGCCTGCCTTCCCACTCCCCCTCCTTCCTGGGAACTTCTTCCTCCCCACACATCCATGTCCCCTGCAAATCTCCTGTCTGTGGCTATCTTGGCTTCAGAAGAGGCAACAAAGGCCAGAGGAAATTTTCTGTGCCCTAGGGAAAGAGGAAGCAGAAGGCTTTTTTGTAATTGGACTTACAGGCGGCCCAACTGGCCCAGGCTGTCCTGGGGTTCCTTCGGGTCCAGCTGGTCCAGTGGGCCCTGGCGGGCCAGGGGGCCCCGGGGGACCTTGGATTCCCGCTTGTCCTTGTTCACCCTGAGGTTCGTTAAAACAAGGGGTTATCAGCAGGCAGAGCAAACCCTTCATACCACCACCCCAAGGGCCCAAGGCAGGTCAGCCTGGCTGAAGCAGAAGAGGTAGAAGCAAGTCCCAGGTTAGTGCCAGGAGAGGTTTCCAAGAGCGAGCAAAGCCCCGCTGAGGCCAGGCTGCCTCGGCAGCAGGAGCCAGCACCCTACAGTTTGCAAAGATATTGGAGGCCACCTTGTCAGAGCTCTCTTTAGGAGGGACCTACAGATGACCGAGCAGTCCGAAGAGATCTTTTTCTTCATGAGTCAGTCAAGTACAATTTATATGTCAAGGCCCAACATCTCTTGAGCTTCTCAGGAGGCTTTCCAAAGCACTTGACAGTCATATATGAAGCAAAGCCTCCCGTGACCACACTGGCACTTCCAGGCAGAGCCACAGTGTTTTACCTCAGCCTACTTTTTTCCCTGTGCTATATTTGTTGGACAACACTCCCTCTGTTTTGCCAAGGACCAAAAGTAGAAATGCCACAAACCCAAAAGAAAATAACACGATCATCATGGCATTTCTGGAGCCTGCCCAAAACAGGCCTATGTACGCCAGGCAGAGCCTGTTTTTGTAAGATTTAACAAGCTAGTGCGTGCAGAGCCACCTGCCATTTTAAGCTCTCTGAAACGAAGCTGTTTCAGCTGGTTCCTCCCCAAGCCCCTCAGTAGCCATTCGGCGGCTGTGGCTCATGCCTCAGCAATGTCATCTGGCCCAAAGGACCTAGACTTGGGACGAAGCGGCGCTGAGGAGACAGTGGGTTGGAAGCACCACGTTTGAATACCAGACTGCTGATCTATAATTGATGAATCCAGCAAACTCCTAAGGCGCTGTGGCACCCACACCAAGCTGCTTAGTCTCATGGGCTCCCCTCCCATTCCCCCTCCCTAGATAAAATATCATGACATCCTACTGCTAGCGACCCAATTTAAATTTGAAAAACTCTCCTTGGTGGATCCATGGGAAGCTAGAAATCAAACATGGTTGTTTCCTAATTATAAATCAATGGGTGTGTAGTTTAGTCTCAGCTGCATTTATCCTCTCTACAGCCTTATACACTGCTGCTGGGTAAAACTAAGTCTGCTCTCACGCACTTGTGTGTTCAGGAGAATGCATGAAAACTGTCCCCTGCATGTGTTCCTACCAAGTGTGCTGTTTATCCTGGCTGCCTTTAGTAAAACATGCAGATACAGGGATGTTTGCTTTATTTAGAATGATAAATTGAAGTAATAAGCTGCAAATTTCATCCCTTCTGCCATGAGCTCTATTTAAAAGAAAATTTCCAACATGTGGGCCAGGCTCATGGGAAGCTTGGTCATGTGTGGAGCAACATCCCTTCTCCTCAAGAGAGCCGCTGCTGAGCCGCCTGACCTGCAGCCCATGCTGGGAAGCCTGCTAGGCCAGGCAGGGAAGGTGCCCTCTCTTTTCCCCATATTATAAGTGGATCCTGGCTCACCCTGTGGCCCATGCAATGGGACACAGGATCCTTCCTGAGCTTCCCTATCGTCCATACTCAGTGCTATTCAACAGTCCTGTAAATGGTCTCGTAGCTTTTAAATTTGGGAGGGAATGTGGATCCAACAAAGACAACAGGTTTGGAGGACACTGGACTATATTTCTAGATTTCCTCTTGCCCTGACCTCTCAGCCCAGCTTCAGAGACTTCCCTCCCATTGCATCTTACAGCATCCCCACTATAGGTGCACGAAAGGGTGCATGCATCTTACAGCACCCATGGTGGGGCACCATGGGAAGGCAAAGGGGGCTTTGCCTGTCTCCCTTTGGCTCTCCCTCCTCTATTCCCACTTCAGCTGCTCTCTGTCAGCCCAGTCCATGCTCCAGATTTAGGGCACTGGAAATGCAGCACAGTGCTGGGAACTGGTGCTGGCACCGTGGCAGGGGATGGGGAGGTGGGGAGAGCCGGAGCCCTGCCCCAGCATGGGGAATGGCTGGAAGGAGCTCACCCAAACTCCCATTCGCATCACCTTTGCTTCGCTGCGTCAGACAGAGCGTGCTTTGTGTAAGTGAGTGCCCATCCATACGGATCCCTAAACACACACAATGTTGTTTACCACATCGTTATAGTCTTACTAACGCATTCAGCACTAAAAGACCCCCACAGGTCTAACTAGACTGTAAGTGGATACAGTAAGTTGGAGATCAGGTGTAATTTTCATCAGATGTCATTCTATATTTTTAGCTGTTGACTGGAGCTATTTTTCAGTTCTTTTAAACACCAGTTAGCCACTCTGATTGTGCCTCGGCAATGCAATGCTTGTTCAGCCTCCTAACACAGGTATCCACTCAGCTCATGTCTCTGCTAAGCCCAAGGCCTTGGGCAAAGCACTCTTGCTGACGTGCTCAGAGGCAGCAGCAGGATTTTCCTCTCTTACGTGCTGGTGCTAATATTTATTTTGCAGCTCACATTTTTTCTTAGCATTCATATGTCGGGCTCCTGGAATTGCTTGGTGCTGGCAGATCTGTAGGAGTGGATTACACTTTGTTGCACTTAGGGAATGAATATGGCAACGGCAAAATGGATCACGGCAAAATTGTCCGGTGAAGTTAGCCTCTGGGGACAGAGGGAATTTGCAGCCCTGGCTGATGACAGGATGCAGGGCAGCAATTCAAGTTTCCCACTTCATCCTGGATACAAACTTCAGCTTTCAAAGCCTTTCCAAGAGGTCAGTCCTTGGCCTGGCTCTTCGGATTGTCGCTTTGAAGGGTAACCAGTGCAAGCCGTAGGGCTTTGTGTGGTGCAAATGCTGAATCAATAGAAACTGAATTGAGATCACGGGCTCAAGTGATAACGTCAGGATTTTGCCAGCACTGGGCAAGGACCAGGCACCTCATGGTAAAGGCCTGTATTGCACACTGCAGTTCCCTGCTAGCATCTGACTGTCTAGACAGGCAGCGGGGTGACAAAACCCAGCCACTTAATAGAGGGTGTCCAGCACACTTCAGCGGGGTAATTACAGTGGTTTGTCCGCACAGGAAAGTTAATCCCAATTGACAGAATGAGGGAGCTTAAAGTGGGCTCATTAAAAGCCTCATGAACTCTGACTATGGACAACTCTTATTCACTATTCATATGTCCATAATTCATTTTATGAATTAATTCCCAAAATAAACTATACTAAACATGAATTATGGCCCTGGAAACCAAAATAAATGTGTTTACACAAAGATTTAATGCAATTTAATGAAACCATTATAAGACCTTATTTAAACACATTTTCCCAAGTGTCTCAGACTAGACTAGCCCTTAGAAGAAGCGTTTGCCTATTCATTCATCTCAGTTAAATTTCACAAACATTAGCTGCATTTCAGCAAGAGGTTTCTAACCTCTTCTGGAGATTGAATATGCAGGAACTGACTCCTTAAGGTAGCAGACTGCTTGTCGACAGTCCCGAGAACAGTTTCATGGCCCATTTCTTTTAGTTTAAAAAACTGGCTTCACTGCATTTCTTTTTAGCCACATTATCACATCAAAGATTTCCTCCACTTCAAAGAAAGTCCCTCAGCTCTGCGTGAACCTCTTGGAAACCTCTCTGTAGGGGAAGACAGGTAGCAAGCTGATTAATTGCAAGCGTCAAGGTAGGCTTAGAAACAGGCAATGAGGAGGAGAAGTCTACCTGGAAAGTGCGTCTCTTTATGACCGGAGGTGGAGCCAGCCGCACTGAATTGAGGAGAGGCAACAGCTGAAGAAGATCAAACCAGAAGGTCGCAGGGCAAAGGAGGCCGTTAGGGCACCGAGAGTCAGAGAGCAGCCAGGGGAGAGAACAGAGAAGAGGGGAACAGAGAGATTGCCGTGAAAATAAACCACCGCGTGAGAGCCGCGCACAGCATGGGTACCTGCCGGCAGACCTCTGAGCTCCTCTGTGCCATGCATTGCTCACAGGGGGACTTGCCGCGTGCCAGCCCTGGCAGGCGCAGGGTGACCACTCACCAACCCGACGCTCCCACTGCACAGAGCTTTTACTGCTTTCTCTGCTCGGAAATAAAACTTACCCAGGGGATTTTTGATTGCAAGATATCGCCCCACTGGCTCTGCCAAGCTCTCTGGTGACAGGACTGTTTCTTTTAATTTATCATCATCAGATTTGAGGTAACTATCAAAATGCGAATTTTCTCCAAGTTTTCCAAGTATGGTTTCCTATTTCCTTCCATCTTCCCTCACAAGAAACACAGTGCATCTCCAGCCCTCACCCTTCCTCGGGGTGTGGAAGGGAGTGGAGAGATGCTAGCCGGGGCCAGCAGCAGGCATCACAGCCAGCAAACAGGTCCTGGTGTGGTTCATTTAGCTGAGCAGACACAGCCATCATGGCCAAGGGAGAAGACTAGACCTTGGTGCCTCTGAGCCTTGAGCAGGGTATTGCCTTGGGAGCCTGTGCTTTGCTTTTCCTTATTTAACAGTAACATCAGCCTCTGACTGCTTATAGCCAGGAATGCTGCCTTAGGGCACAAAGCTGACCCGGACGCACAGAAATCAAATGCACTAAAGCTCAGAAGCATTTGTTCATCCTTCTGCTGTATCCAGTTTCCACTTGCATGCATGCTGCTGTCAGCCTGGCACCCACCGTGCCGGCTGCAGGCCCAGGAATGCTCCTCTGACCTGATCCACTTTCCTGTTCCTATCAGCTTTCCATTGAAGCTGCTCTTGATTTACACAGGGAGAAGAGAAAGAGGCTTTCTGCGCTCAGGCACAAAAACGTGCCCCTGTGTGCAACAGTCCCCAGTGTGAGCTGTGCACTCAGATCTGAGAGGTGCGCCCATAGGTCTCCCACCACAGTAGCAGTACACATCCAAGCAGTGCACTTTAATCCCTTTAAACAGTGTTCTTCATGTTTGCAGTGAAAGCAAGGATCCAGTCCTGTTGCAAAGTGAAGTGGCAACCCAATATTGCAGCATCGCCGCCCTGTTATCAGGCAGTTGTGTTTGAATGCACTGATTCAGACAGCCACAAGCTATCGCAACCAAAAACAGTGCTGCTGGAAAATCAGCTAGGCTGATTTTATCTGAAGGAAATCCTTCTCTTTCTAAAAGACAGTGCAGGAGGCCCCATAGCTCAGAAGAGCATTTGGGACTGTGCTGATCTTCTCAAGGGGGATGTTGCTGTAAATTGCCACACCCCCATGCTAGGTGTGCCTAGCATGTCTGTACGAGTGATGCAGACCCAGCTGAGCTGGCTTTGCCTGGCTCCACAAGTGCTGAAGTGTATCTGAAATATTATGCAGCTTTACAGGGAAGCAGAGGGAGGATGCTGGAAAGGATAAGGAGGAAAATGGAGAGAAGCAGTCCTGAAAACAGAGGCGAGACAAGACCCAGCAATGGATTCAGGTGCAATGGGAGAGTTTAGAGAAGAAACCTGAAGCCTCTTCCACCCAGCTCCTGCCCTGCCCCTTCTGTGTCCCAATGGCAAGTTTTTTTCAGAAGGCAGCATGCAATATTGGATCCACATCCTTGTGCGTTTGCATCAGAACTGGGTCCCGTCAGACCATGACCCACAAACCTTTAATGTAAGGATCTGGTTAGAGCGCAGGGCTGCAAGGGTGGTACTTAGGTATTCCTAGGGGACAGTGAAGACACATAACACAAAGGTGGTCAGTTAGACACATGGCATTTCTGAGAGCAGACGGAGCACAGCTGGTCCCCCTCTTCCCTGAGCTGAGCGCTCTTCCCCAGGGTGGCACTCTGGAGCAGCTCAAACGGCCAGCTCACACTGAGTGGGTAGCCCCATGCCTGGGCTTGTCCCTCACAGCACTGCAGGCCATGCAGACTTACACAGAAAAAAAATAGGAAACTACAACACAAGCCAAGGCATACATCCTAACCTTACATTTCCTTCCTAAGAAAACAAAGATGAAACAAAACTGAAACAACATCCCTGGATTTTCAGGATGCTGGTTTTAATTTCCTCACCCAGAATATCTGACAAAGGACCTTGTCAACCAGTAAAGCAAGAACAAATTGCAATTCAGTCAAATGTGTAGCATTTTTACAACAAGGCTCATCCTAATTTTCATTTTGGGAGGAAGAGAGAACTGCACCTCTGTTGGCTGATTTGTGCCTCTGGCTCCCTGAACTTGCAGCCTGTGACCAGACCCTTCAAGACAGCCCACCCTCGAGCTGATCTGAGGAGAGTCATCCTTCCCATGAGCATGTCTCTGCCTTGGAATGACTCACAGGCTTTTTAAAACGTTGAGCTTGCTGCCTCATGAGACCAGAAGTACCTCCATGAGAGCCAAGGAAACGTCACCAGGCTTTGCTGGGATGTGAGGCTTTGCACCAGTCCTTTCCCTGCTGTCACAGCCCTGCGGCAGGTCACCCTGGAGTGCCTACATCCCCAACCCACTAAAACAGCGTGCCTTTGCCCCCAGGTCTGAGCCCAGGCTACTCCCAGTGATGCACAATCTGCACCTCTGTTTCCCAGTGTTGCTGTGGGTCCTGCCACTGTTTTTCACCTTGAGCACTGAGGACAGTTGGAGCCAAGGGCTGTAACAGGAACCCAGGACACCACTGGGGTGAACATTGTTGTTAGCTTCTTTTTAACATAACAATCTAGTGAGCCGGCTTGCCTAAATAAACACAGCTGACCAGCTATTATTGTACCAGTACTGGCACATACCTACAGCCCCCTTCTCCCTCACTGTCAGCCGAGCTCTCTCCCCTGCCTCTGCCCCACAGAACATCCAGGGCCTTGCTCCCTCGGGGCCAGGGACCAGAGCCCAGCTAATTGTCCAGAGGCCCGTCAAAAATAAACAGAAAGCCCTTAAGCCTGTCTCCCTGTACACCCAGATTACAAATTCCAGCCATTTCATATGATGTCGTTCCAATGCATTTCCAGTGGATTTTCAGCACTCCGTTTGTTTTTAGAGCTGGTTAAATTTTACTGCTGTAATCCCCTCAAACCCCATGATGTACTCTCTCTTCTCTTGGCTGCAGTACATGCCAGCCAGGCCAGGATGAAGAGGCAAGTGGGGCAACATCCTGGCTTTCGTTAAACGGTTGCTGTTATCAACCCTCCCTCTCCGCCTCTTCTTTGAAGGCAGAAAGCCCACCAGGTTGGGGGACCGGCATGGGGACCAGCTCACCAGGGACCAGCCAGAGCACCATGGCCAGGGGTGGCCAGGGTTACTTTCGGGCAGGGAGCACAACCCTTCCCCTTGTCTCTATGCAGGGTTGAGACCAGCACAAGGGAGAAGAAAAAGGGAGGAATGATGATAGATACTCCCCGAGGTCTGCAAACCCCCCACTGCTCCTGGCCATGCAACCGCAGCGGAGGCTGTGGAAGCAGGATGGAGCTGGTGCAGCAGCATAAGGTGTGAGTGGGTGACCTCTACTCCTCTAGAAACCCCAGGTTTCATCGGGTTTTAGGGTGAGGACACGGACCTTCCTCGCTTCAGCCCAGAGCATGGGAGGGTCTCCAGGAAGCAGCAATGACAGCATTTAGCTAAGGGTCAGCCCCAGTGGGCAGGAACAGACCGGAGAACCAACATCCCTCCTGGAAAACCTTATCTGCTGCTTTTCTGCGAAATACATCAATCAGCCGAGCGCTGCCCTCAGGGCCCAGATGACGCATCTTGTTAATGAAACGATCTATATTTCCAACAAAAAGCCATTCAAACGAAGGAGGATTAACATGCAGGAAGGCATAGACGATAATAACACTAATGACTTACCCTGTGTGGGTACTCTGCACACTGACCCTGAGAAAGAAGGGGATTAAAAGGAAAGAGTTTAAACCACAGAGAGGACCAAAATAAACACATGGGGTCAGATCCAGAAGGTGTAAAACATTGTGACTATATTGAATTCAGTGCAGCTATGCCAATTTGCACCCAACAAGCACCCTGCCTCCTGTCCCCCCTCCCCAGAGCCCTCTGTTCTTGCTGTATTTCTTAGCCACTCAAAGTCAGAAGGAGCAGCACCAAGCCCATCGAGTCCCTTCCCTGCTCACTTTTTACATTTAATTTTCAACACGTCTCCCATTAAAATTACCTTTTCTCCTTTTTGTCCTGAGGGTCCCTATAAAAGAAAAGTGATAAAAAAAGCCCTCAGTAAATGAAGGAGTTCAGTGCATGCAAGGGGAAAGGGATTAGGAGGAGGTGCGACTGCAAGAGATGGGATACTTACAGGTTGTCCCCTGGGACCTGCAGCACCCTTTAAAGAAACACATTGTCATGAATGCAAGATGGCTTCCCATTTACAGTGACAAGAAGACAAAAACTCTCAGCGTATGGAGTAGGTGGAAACTCAGCTTTTAAAAACAATTGTGGAGAAAAGTTCCCAAGAGAGATCTGGGTTCCCTTTGTTACTCTGGAGGAGTGAAAATGCACACATGTTCTGGCTGCACTGCGGGGGGCAATTATTAAAAGAAGAAGGGAAAAATCATCAGGAAAACACACCCTTATTGTTCCCAGGACCTCAGCTGACAGCGTGTCTCCTCAGCCGACATACTGGGATCAAACCAGAAGCAGCCAGGGCTGAAGCCTGAGCTGCAACTGCCTGAGCTAGGGTTGCGCAACAGGGGGATGTCAGCTCACCCCTCCTCCAAGGAGCGGGGAAGGGGCATCTTCAACATGTGCTTGCCAGAGGGTTATACTGACACTCTGGCTCAAAAAACAGAATTAGCAGAAGAAAATGTTCAGCATTTCAGTGAGCAAAGGTGACTACAGAGCTGCTAGCTTGGCATATTCGTGTTTGGGGATTTCATCATCAGAGATGTCGAGAGGAACAAGACCACATTTGGGTTTCCATCAAGTGTGGCCTAAGTTTATCATTTTCAACCAAAAGTATTTTAGTACGATGCACATATGAAACAGAGCTTCAAGAGGGGAAAGAAAGATATTTAATACAAAAAATATGCTTTTTTTTGTTAGATAAGTTGAAAGCTGCCAGATGGGTTTTCAGAAAATTTTCCATCAACTTTTACTTCTGCAATGAGGCCAACCATGAAAAATGTCAGCTCCCAGAGTATATTTAAAGAACGTAATTGCTAACTGCAAGGAAAACATATCGCATGCATAACTAGAGAGCTGCTGTTGTGACATGATGAATCTGATAGCCATAATGTAAAAATTACAGATGTGCATCCCAGCACTGCTATTATGAAGTTACAGAACTAGGGACACAGCTAGTGCATTAGCTAAACTAGGATCTCCACCCTGCCTATGAGCTCGTTTCCAGCTGAGAGGCAATGTAATTTCAAACCAACCCGCCACCCGCAGACAAACATATAGTTTTTTTACCATCTCCCCCTTCTGTCCAGGATGACCCTGCAAAAGAAAGAGAACATGCCTCAGCTTAGGCCATTGCACTCTCTAGAAGATGATGGCTTAAGCCGCTTACCACTTGCCTCGGGAGGTACCTGCAGTCACTGTACTTTGTCAAGGGAGGTGCAATGCTGTGCATGTGGAGCTTCACTCACACATCTAACAGGACACCGCTCTCCACTACCCAAAATGCTGAGAACAAAGCTCTGGAGGATGAATACGGGGTGCAAAGGCTCTGCGGGGCATGGCCAGGACATGGTTAAGCCCCCCTCAGGCTGGCTGAGCAGCTACAGCTGAGTGCAGTGCACTGCACCTTGCTGGGGCTCACATGTGTGTCCTCAGAGCAGTATAAGAGAGATACTGCTGGCCTTGGCAGGCTGATGCTCCTCATGGCAAAAACACAGTCCTACTGTAGGCCATTAGGTGCCAGAGCTATGTGCTACCAGCTCCTTCTCCATTACAGCATGGCTAGAGGAAGTGTGGTGGGGAATTTGGCTATGGGGCTGCCTGGAGCTATGGGTTTCATGTCAGTTGGGTTCATAGGGAAGTAGCTATATTTGTGCCTAGCTCTCTGAAGGGTGGGAAGAACTTAGGTCTCACTCTCTCTGCTACAAACTTGATTATAAGGAGGCTCTAAAAACAGCATGGAGGTCTTTAGGGTCCTTTCCTCTTCTGCTGCAACTCTTTGCAGCACAGGAGCAAAGAGAAACAAGCTGCAGGGTCAACTTCAAATGAGGCTGTCAGCTGTCTAAGGCAGAGGGCTGGTGCCTAGAGGCCTGCTCTGTCTGTCTGATTAAGGGTGGGAGTGCCTGCTTTCCCTGCAGCAGCCAGGCTGTTGCACTTGCGAAGTGCTATTTTATAGATTTGCCTAGAAAGGAAGCGGCCACACTCTGCCTTCCCTAATCTGACTCCTGCATCTCCCCCAAGACATTTGTGGTATCCTCCTGCCTGCCAACCTTCTAATTTTCTTTTAATCCATGCACGTGCATGACACTGCAAAATAATCCTCTTAAAAACATACTCTATAACAGGCAGGCCAGCAGAACAGTGGGACCTAGCAGGACGCAGGGCAGAAAGGCTTGAGAGAAGCTGTTTGCTTACCGGTTTGCCATCCAAGCCAATAGGGCCCTGAAATAAAAAAGGAGAAATGATGAGAAATGCTTTCACTGGGGTGTCTGTCCATCTGCCCCAGCAAGCACTATGTGTCGCAAGATTGCACAGGCCGGGGAAAGGATGCAGACGTGAGGTGACTCTCTCTGCCCTCCCACTGAGTCCTGGCAGGTCCCTGGCCCACTGGGTACCAGCCCAGCTTCCTGATTGCTTCTGCAGGGACCTGCTCACTGTCAGCCCATTTCAGCAGCAACACTGGACACAAGAAGGGAAGGGAAGGCAGGAGGGATTCATGGGCAATTCACAAAAAACCCTCAGCATTTCAAATTTTGCACTGTCTTGTAAACTAGTTGAAAATCAGCAGTTTTCTCGAGACTTTGATTTAAAAAGGCACCCACCTTTGGGGGAAGAGGAATTTTTGCAAATGATAAAATAATAAAAGTGTCCCAGGGAAGAGGTGACATACAGCTCGGCAGCATGCTGAAGGTACTATTTGATGAGAAACAGGCTCCGCAGAGCGCTGTCCCACCCGGCACTTTCTCATGAGCTGGGCTGATTTGTTTTCTGTTCCTCCGAAAGCCAAAGACCTCAAAGGCCTGGAGAGATCTGCTTCTCCTCAGCCCAGGGCCAGCTCGCAGCCCCCCTTTTCGCAAAGGGCAGAGCCACGGAGCCCAGTCAGACAGCTCGGAGGCTGCCAATTCCTCCCGTTTTCCAGGCGTGAGAGTCTCCCCCGCAGACCTGCTCTGGCACATCGCGTGTCCTGGAGCAGCAGCTGAGCTGCCTGGCGGAAGCAGGGATGCGGGGGGGGGAGGGTGTTTGTGTTTGCCTTAGGCTTCCTAGTCGTCCAGGATAAACGCATAAGAATAAATAGCAAGGAGGGATGAGGGAGGGGAGGGAGATGGGGAGGGGGGGGGAGGGTGTTTGTGTTTGCCTTAGGCTTCCTAGTCGTCCAGGATAAACGCATAAGAATAAATAGCAACTGTTTGAGTTCTCTAGCAGCCTCAATGCTTCAGAGAGTGTTGCCAGCAACTGTAGGACTGAAATGAAATTTGCTTTGTCCTCTTCTGGGCTTGTTTTCTGTTCCTTTGTCCATCTGTAACAGTGTTGGAGAAGAATCACCCCCTCGTGCTTTTTGTCCTTTCCCTTTGGCATGACCAGGGTGTTCAGCCTAGCATGGTCCCCCGCTGACCTGCATCACGCAGGGCCCTGTTTGGATCACAGGCGCTCACTGCTATTGCAGTATCACCTAAAGGCTCAATTAAGCTTGGAATTTCACCTACCTAGGGGTTATTTTCTTTGTTTGGGGGTATTTCTTAGGATGGTTTTCTTTTACTGAACAGATCTGGCTTCAGCTATGTTATTTTAACACTTGGGTTTTTTTAAATTAATTTCCTTTCAGAGTTGTGTGGTTTGTTTTTTTTCCCTAAGTATCATTTAAAAGAAAAAAAAAAGAGAGAAGAAAAACAAATGAAGAAAAAATTACTTTTTCCAGTGATACCAGATCAGGTCCTTGGTTTCAGACAGAAATGATGAGATACAGTGAGCACTAATGACATTTCCTAGTAATACTGCACACCCATACCTCATAAATTAGCAGTTACACTTACCGGGAATCCAGGAAAACCTCTTGTTCCAGGCTGTCCCTGGGAAGGATGAAACAGAGACAGCAGTTTAGAGGAACTGAAGTGGATTTTGACTGACCCTAAGTCCTCTCTACAGAGCCTTCCCTCCAGCCTCTGCCCATTTATCCTACGAGTCTCTGAAGAGTTACCCAAGACCCAATTCCCCTCCAAGGGGAAAGCATCTTGGGAAGGAGAGGAAATCTCTCATCCCCACTCCAATTTGTACAGGGCCAAGAAAACCCTGGAGCAGGTCCAGTTTGGACTGCAAGCAGTTTCCTTGGAAGTTTCTACATTAATTAAATGGGTGTCCCTAGCCCATACACTAGGCTTTTGGAGTATATTCCAGAGGCTGAGCTCATTTTATGGCAATTCTTGCTGCCATAAACTGGAGGCGTTTAATGCAGGGTGCTGCTCTGTGCAAGACAAACCTTGCAGGTCACTGGTGTCTAAATAGAGCCATCCCTCTTCTCCTCCTCCCCTAATCTCATGTCCCAGTGCATTCATTTTCCCCACAAATAATTCTGGAGAAGAGATGATTTTTTTTTTTCTTTTCTGTTCTTTTCCTCTGAGAGCTAGGAGAAAACGGAGAGTTAGGTGGTGTGATGAGAGGAACATGAGCACCAAGTCCTTTCCCCCGCCTCTTTCTGGCTAGCCAGCATTGGCTACCAGTTTGGGATCAGGTACAGCAAACACTGGCTTGGGATGTGTTTGGCAGCTTCTTCATCACCCACTTAAAAACACTGAAAAAAAGAAATTGTCACAGCTGTTAATTTTTCATAGTTCTTCAGTTTCTGGGACCTGCGACATCCCAGGTCACAGTTACCCTAGATTTGTGGGTATCCAGAAAAGATACCACTTTACTTAAGGATTTTTTAATCTCAATTTCCCAAAAAATGTGTGAGGCAAGTCAGGAAGCAATATGGACCAGACTTCAGCAGATCTGGAAGCGCACCCATGCAGATGGAAACAGCAGGATGAGGTAAATCCTGTACCATGCTCATCGAGTGACCGCTGCGGCATCTTGCCTTCCCTGAAAGCCGTGCTACGATGCCAAAAAGCCCAGGTTTCTCATGTATTCTCATGCTTTGTTTTGGGGAAGAAAACGTTTTCTTAGGCAATTTGAGATACCATGACCAGACTCTCTGAGTCCCACAAGGGTCTCCTAGGAAAGAGCTGGGTATAAACAAGGGTTCACTTCTGAAAAGAAATGCACGTGGGTGCATCTCTGCCTTAAGCAGAGCTATCCCATGTGGTGCCAAGGGAAGAGGGGGGGGTCTGAAAAGAAATGCACGTGGGTGCATCTCTGCCTTAAGCAGAGCTATCCCATGTGGTGCCAAGGGAAGGGAAGGGGAGGGAGGGGACAGGCACACTGGGCTGCAAGGCTGAGGTTTGCCACAGTGCAGCAATGCTAATCCCTTGGGAGAGAACTCAGAGCCACATTGGCAGGGAAAATCTTCACCTTCAGGTTACATCTCCTCCAGAGTCCCTCTACCTGCAGAGAGACACATTGAAGATTTGGCCCTTCAGAAATGGGGCCAGATAACCTCTTCACAGAGTTTGAGGGACGCCCTTGCCACAAAATGCCTTGCGTTGTGCTGAACAGTTGTGGTTTTATACACAATGCTAGCAGGACCTAATCCCATTTGCACTTTTTTTTTTAGTTCTGCAAAGTTGAACTTGGTCAGCTTTGCTTTGCAAGATACATATAAAACCACCTGGTCCTGTTGGCCAGTGACCAGGAGGGAAGATAGGCTATAAATTAAAGGGTCTGTCCACCACTGGTTTCTGAAAAGGCAAGAATCAAGAAGAACCTAGCCACAATTCATTAATTTTGGTTCCCTGCTGGACACCTCCCTGGACAAGAAGTGCTAAAAAAAGAATTAGGGAGAAAACCTGGAAATTGTGCAATTTGGCTTCCTCCGTAGACTACAGACTGCTGCCTCTTTCTCCTTGGAGGACAGCAGAGTGATTTGCATGGTATCAGGCCAAAAAACAGTTCAGCAGCGAGCAATTCCAAGAGGCTGTTTTTGTTGTGTGACTGTTTTTCCTTGTCTTCTTTTTAAAATGTTGATCGTATGAAGTATGTAATCCCAGGAGCTGCCAAATCATGAAGACCGTCTGTTTCTGCCACTATCGGTGCACTGTCCCTCTCTGGCCAGAAGTTAAGCAGCTCTGAGCTCTAGCGAAAACTTTAACCTCCGAACAAAAATCTGGAAGCTATTTGTCATCCCACATCTTTCCCAGTGGCCCCTTGGCCGGGGTTTCCGTGTTTGTCTTCAGTGTTCAGCCATCCTTTTGACCTATCACCAGCTCCCCGGGAAACTGGATCATCTTTACAGTAGGCTTTGGGGGTGGAAGTGTGGAGTTGTGCCAGTCCTGGCATCTCAGGGCTTTGACTGGCGTAGGCAAAAGTCCATTTTAAATATCATTTGCCATCTAAGTTTTCTGTTGCTTTGGAGATGCAACATGTTCTGCACTTTCCCGAACAGCAGCAAAGGCAATGAGGCAAAGCAGCAGTACCAAAGCAAACATTAAAAATTGTCCTGCAGACCAGGCATGTGTCCTTTCAGAAAACAGCGGTGCCTGTCTCTGTTTGCAGGACCTACAGTGATAGGGACTGACAGCTTTTCTCTCCAATTACTATAAACACACTATCCAGAAGGCTGAGAGCTACAGCTTGTGAGAAACAGCAAAAGCAATGGGGCATTTACCCTCCAAAATCCACTGCTTGTGGAGCAGGGTGGTCTTGCTCAGAGCTTGGCATTGAGAGACCTGCCAGCCCTTCCTCCTCGCCTGGCCACATGGCCAGGGACCATCTACTGGGTATAAAACACTTGGAGAGACCCATTTGTGTCCTGAGCTTCGGTTCTGTCGCTTCTCAAACTCCAGCGTGCCAGGCAGGTGGGCCTGGGAACCGGCAAAGCTGTTTCTTATTAGAAACACTTATCATGGGGCTTTTGGAAAGTTAATTGGAAAGCCAGATGTAGCCAAGTGTTCGCGCTGCCTAGGTCTCTCTCACTTGACCTCTGCTGTGAAACAAAAGTTGCCGGCGACCCGTCCTCTCTGCAAGTCAAGGACGGTGCTCTTCACAGGTTAATCAAAATCGGAAGTGCCCACTGAGAGAGAGAAGATTGAGTCTCCAGGTCTTTTTTCATGGAAATCTCCGGTGGAGGCTGTGCAGAGGTGGAGTGGGGAGGACTGGCTGCATCTGCACAAAAGCAGAGGCTTGATGGCTGAACCGCAGTACAAGAAACATTCAGCATTTAGGGCACGTAAATGCTCCAGTCCTTCATGTTGGTCTTTTTTTATGACTCTATCCTTGCAAAAAGCTTTGTCTGGCTGACTCGTTGCACCTTGCAGGGACACTTTTGCTGGAAGAGGGTGCAAAATCCTGCCTACACTTTCCTCGGCTCCCCAGCCAGCTAAGGGACTTTCCAGAGAGCGGTAACTGTGCTGTTGAAGAGTTTCCAAGATTTTGGGTACTTGACAAGGACCTCTGAACGACTTTGAACTACCCATCTTTGCAAGTTCCCCAGTCACCAGCTTAGCTCTGATCCTGCTCTTCTGCACAGTCAGGGGGTTTGTCCTCTGCTAATGAAACCAAAGGCTGAGATCAGCCAGGCAAAGGGTGTATTTTCTCCAAAAATGGTAGCAGCCCTGTTGCAAGAAGGAAATATGCTTCTTCCTTTTAAATACAGGAATATGGTTTCCTTGCAAGAGAAGGCTTCCTCATTTGTTATGGAGTATGAGCTGTAATTTCATTATATATAGTATATAATAGCAGTATAAAACCAAGCCTGGCTCAGCATGGGAACCACATTATACAGGGTTTTTGCTCTCTCCAGCTGATGCTGTGTCTTTCCACCCCTCTAAGTCTTTCCCTGTAACTTGCCCACATCCTGCATCGGTCAAAAATAGAGAGAGAAGCCACTTACGGGTGGACCGCGAGGCCCGATGATAGACATGCCCGCTTCTCCTGGAGCACCCTGCAGAGACACAAGGGAGAGGAAAAGGGGTAAGAAAAGGAGAGGAAAATACAAAGACAATTATATTCCCGTCAATACCGGGGTTAAATGAGGGTGCTCAAGGTGTGAGACCTTCAGGGCTTATGGGGCAGCTGCCGTTCTGGCCTCCCCTAGCTCTTGCCCCAGCACTTTGGGAGAAGAGATGTTGTTTGGAGCTAGTCAGACGTGCCAGAAAATGGAAGCTGCACAGCAAGGAAAACTATAAACACATAAAACACATTCTGGCAAAACAGAGGTTCTGCCCCATTACAAGTGTGAAAAATGGCCTGAAACCCTTGCTGTTTCCTTCCTGCGAGTCCAGGAGTACTGTGTCCTTGCACAAGAAAGAAAAGAAGGGATGTGCTGGGCTCCAGGGAAATGGGAGCTGCAGGCAGCTCACTGGCTGCCTCCAGAAATGCCTTGCTTGTGTGCTTCTCAAACTCAGTTGGGATGCGGATGAAAACAGCAAAGTCCTTGCTGGAAAAGAAAACAGCTGCCTCTCCAGCTCCTAGCCACCCACGACGTGCGATGGGCAGGACATGTCCCTGTCTTTGGAAAACATGGCATATTCCTGAGAGGCAGCTCCAGAAGTGCCCAGGGCTGGGGAGCCTTGGGATGGAGCATCCCATAAACCAAGCAGCCTGTGAGCAAGCAGAGCTCTCTGCAAAACAAAGCTGGGGCCTGCCAAGGACCTAGGACTCTCACGGAGGGCTTTGGGGAAGCATGGGCAATTAAGAGTGTTTTTTCCCTTGTTTGTTTGTATCTATCTGCTGTCCCTTCATGTTGAAAGCTTTGGCCAGAGAGAAATGCAGAGAAAAAGCAGGGTGGCTTCAGGCGGTGAAATCTTGGTCTGTTAGATAATGTTGGTTGGCTCCAATGAGCAAGCAGAAGTTTGAAAGCAAGGAAGGAGAACCTCTGTCTTACCTTGCCCTTCCTTGCTGTTTTTCTATCATCTCCTATGAATAGGAGCAAATGGGCCTGGTATGGCAGTGCCCTGCATGGATGATCCCCCTATCAGGTGAATATTAATTCCTTTCCTAGTTTTCTACACATTGTTATTCAGTTGTTCACACCCCTCAAACACCTCCATCCCGCTGTTCTTGTGGGTGGGAGGTGACTCACAGCTCTGGGGAAAATACACTAACGCTGAAGCGTCAAACACTTCAAAACATGGGGGCCAGCAGTAGGATGCTTTGCAAACCACCGCTTCTTTGGAGGGACAAAACACCAATTTGCTGCACGGCAAACAGTTTGGGAGATGGAGTCCCACAGACTTAAACCATACCATCAGTTTTCCTTAGGAGGAAGAGGTCCCACCATGTCAGAAATAGGAACGTGCCGTGCCAGTTTCTTCCTTGCTATGACTTGCACCGGGGATCAGGCTAACCTGGGAGGCAGAGGGGAGCTACAGGTTGATTAGGGCAAGTGGAGTTGCCAGTGGGGAAGAAACTCAATGGTTAAAACCCAGGAAGCCTTGAGGGGAGCCCTGTGTGTGCCCGCTGGCTCTTATGCTATTAGTGAATTGTCATAAACAAGAAACACAGCATCTTTGGAGGCTGAGTGGCCTGAAAGGAATTTGGGAGATAAACTCACACTGCCGGGGAAGGGAGAGGGCAGCCCGGGGGGGTGAAAGCCCAAAGCTGGCTGCAGTGGCCATGACTGTGACCAGGGAGCTTTGGCTGGCCCTAGAGGAGGACAGTTGGGGATGCTGTGGGCTGCAAGGAGCTGACTCACCTTCTCTCCGGGTTGCCCTTTTAGTCCCTGGGTCAGTGGCACCCGTCGCAGCCACATGCAAGAGGGTGCAGGGGGGAGAGAGAGAGAGACACAAACACAGGCATCAGCGGCAAGCGCACGCTCCCCCGCCCCAAAACCCTGGCTATGGGGCTGGGATGAGCAGGGTGGCCTCAGCTCCTGCCCCAGCCCTCTTCCCCATCCTCACCCTGAGATGCCCGAGTGAAGAGCAGCTCCAAAATACAGCGCTCAGCCAGGCAGGGGATGCCCCCGCCTTGTTCAGGGCAGCGTTATTTGGAAAGGGCAGCTGCCGGTGGCAGGCAGGGGTACGAGTTAGCGAGCCCATGGCCTCTGGCCTCAGCTCCTGCCCCATCCCCATCCTCACCCTGAGATGCCCGAGTGAAGAGCAGCTCCAAGCGCTCGCGCTCAGCCAGGCAGGGGATGCCCCCGCCTTGTTCAGGGCAGCGTTATTTGGAAAGGGCAGCTGCCGGTGGCAGGCAGGGGTACGAGTTAGCGAGCCCACGGTTAGCAAGCCCAGTCGGCGCACAAGGTGGCAGCAGGAGGCACCCAACCCGGGGCGGGGGGGGGGATGCTGAACCAGAGGCGGGGCTGAGCAATACGGCAGAGGGGATGGAAACACCCCGCCGGCATGTATACGGTTTACAGGGCTGGCCACCCTGCTGTGACCAGGAGATCCCCTCAGGTGTGGGGCTCAGGGAGGGTGGCTTTTCTCAGGCTGACACCCGCCAAGGGTCATCCTGAAAGCCCCCCCAAAATCTTGAGGGTTGGAAGAGGATGGGGAGGACAAGGCACATGCAAGAGGTTTCGACTTACCGGCCGCCCAGGGATCCCCATTGCACCTTTGTCTCCCTGGCAATTAAGGCAAAATCAGAGGCAATTGGAAACTGGCCAAAAGCAAGGTTATAAAATAGCACAAATGAGCTGTGCCACAGACGCAGCTTCACACTGCGGTGCAAGTGTCCAGGGATTTTGAGAGGAAGAGAAGAAGTTAGAGAGAAAGGAAAGTGTGATTGCATGTGCCCGAACCTGTCTTTAAGAACATGCATAAGCCACCAGTTTGCTTGTGCATATGACAAACCAGCACATCTCACAACAGAAATGACATACGGCGATTTAGGCAGCAAAAGAAGGGCAAGAGTATTCAGCCTAACAAAGTATAATCCCAATTTCCAACACTTCATAAAATCCGGGTCCTGGGAACCGGCTTCCTGCAATAGCCAACTGTCACATTTTTCTCTTTCTCTACCAAAGTCATCTGGGTGTTAGCTATTTATTTATAGAGTTATCACTTTAAAACAGGATTCTCTTAGACTTGAAAATACGGTCCTGTCCAGAAGCAAGAGAAAAATGTGGGAAAACAAGCTGACACAGGAAAAAGCACGTCTGGAAGAAGACATATGAGCAGCTGTGTTCAGTGTCCTCTACCCCTTTGAGATACTTCCCATTGCATTGTCAGGGTGTGAACGATCCTAACAGCGGTTTGGGGAACGACTTTGGGTCAGGCGACACTGAACAGAGCCTCATAAACACATGAACGCAAGACCAGTGGCAATTTTCTTCAACCACTTACCTACAAGGCAGTTTTGTGCCTCTTACAGTTAAATTTAACGATGCAATTTATAAAAAAAAACCAAAACAAAAAACAAAAAAAACCACCAACCCCCTCTGCATTCCTGGTCACCAAAACTGAAGGCTGTGCAGATTTGGAAGATAGCAGCTGATTGCTGAAAGGATCTTGATGATTATGGCTTCAGCGGTCATGTAGCTTTTGCTCTATATTTTGCAAAAATGACATGATAATAATCTCTCTGTTCTGTTTCCAGCAATGTTTGGGGTTTCTGTATGTAAAACAGAGTGTCCCTGCCTGTGGCTGCCTGCGTCTGTAGACACAAACCTGGTTTTCTGGTTTCTGCAGCTGGAAACACCAGCCCCATCGGTGCCATCTCTTTGTGCCTTCCCCCATGTTCAGTCCCAACATGTGTGAATGTAGTCTGAAATCTCTGGAAGGGAAATGCACTTAACTCTCTTTGTTTTGCCGGGTGTACACAGAGGCTCCTTTGGCCATGCATCCCAAACTCGGACATTATTGCCTGGGATCAAACCGTTACCTGGTGAAAGTTTAGCCGCTTCCCTCTGCAGAGCTGGAGGTCCATTTGGTATTGGGGGCACTCCTTCCATGCAGATCATGTTTTGATAAATTGAAAAGCAATATATGCTTTGCAAATGGATGAAATGCTAAACAGCTGCTTGATTTTAAATTTTGTAGATGATATATTATGGGAAACTGCTTTCTTCTAGGGTTTTAGACGGGTTCTCAGTCTAATATTGCCTCAGTCTAATATACTAATATTTGCCTATCTCTGTGTGCCAGCAGTGAGCAAAACTCCCTGTGTCAGCATCTTGCCCTGGGATTACTTTGTGGCTGCTGGAGAACATAATGCTGAGTTTTCCTGTGCTTTTAGTCCCTTAAATGCTGCTTTCCTCCAGAGCTGAGCTCAGGCTGATCTCCCTCATGGTTTGAGGTAAAAGTTTATTTTATTTCTCCTGGCTCTGCTGTGGCTGGTGCCCGAGCAGGAAGAGCCCAAGGTCGGGGCTGAGCTGTGTCTGGTCTCCAGTGAGTACCTGGTGTCGGAGCGGTACATGACGGCACCGTGTCTGGTATGTGACTGCGCAGCGTTACAGCCCTCCAAGCAATAATAGCGAAGGGGGAGCTCCCGGTAGGACAGCAAATAAATGCCAGATGTTTATAAGGAAAGGTTGTCTGTGACAGGGAGCCAGGAAAGAGCACTCACGGGTGGATGACACCATGTAGGTTGGTTACGAAGTCATGCGAAGCTGTCCACAGCTCCCACATCGGAGCTAGAGGAACATGAAAGGCAACAAGCAGCCTCTATCCTGAGCTGGGGGGAGAGCCAGCAGCACGGTTTGCATTTCGTTCATTAGGAAACTGCCTGTTATGGCTGTTGCAGTCTCCAGGTGAGCAGCAGCCCAGGGAGCAGGGAGCCATCGCCAGGAAAGCACGCAGCTGTAACCCCGAAACCTACGCTCCTTCCTCACTCATGACTATCCGTCTCAGATGCAGATACTGTTATTATAGACTTTTGCATTTGTCCCAGAGTGACTTAGGCCTTTTAAATCCTGCTGCAATTAGCAAGCCCCGTCAGCAAGAATACTGCACGCTGCGCCTCTTCAACCTCAAGCTGATAAAGGCATCTTCAAAAGTAGCGTGTTTCCCACATGCAGGAGGGTCCATAGGGATTATGTTACCTTTACGTTTGGTCCTACAAAGCTCCTGTGGTCCCTACTCTGTTATGAGCCATGTCCTGTTTGCAATATGCTATTCTTCCACATCAGGTTTGCTATGCAAGATCACTACCTTCTCCCAACTTACAAACCCTGGAGGCCTACTGATGAAAGTACTGCCAGACAGAGAGCACGAGGGAATGAAAAAGAAAGAATGAAGTATTTACCTGGAGCCCTGGTCTTCCTGTAGGGCCCTGAAACAAAATACACAGAAAAGATTAAAGTTAGCTTCAAACTCTGAAGGGAGGGCTTGATAAAGAGACAAAATCACATGTGAGGGTTTAGGAAAGAGAATGGTTAAAAATCTCTCCACAGCTCCTTGACCATCAGCTCTGATTGCTTCAGTTTCCTAATCTCCTGTTTGTGAAGTTTTCTCTCCTTTCGGCATGGCTCTACCCACAGCTCTCCGCACAGGCTCTGAAGGTATCTGCAAGTCCATGGAGAACGACCTAATTACAGGGCTCTGACTTTCTTCCTTAGTTTCCATCTGCTAAATATTATTTTTTCATGTATGGAATTGCTGCTGTTGCCACAGAAATGTTGCATGTTCAGAAATGGGAAAGAAAACGTTCGTGAGAGGATCTTTTCCTTCGGATGTGGTCCAGACAGCAAAAGAGTCCGGGAACCTCAGGACTATTGCACGATTTCATCATTTCCTTCCTTCCTTTGCCCCTTTTAGTCCCAATCTCACCAAATTTCTTACATGACTGCGGGTTGCCCTTGCCTTCACCAAAGCCTCGATTGACTTCAAGAATAACGGTGGGAGCATCTGTTGGGCAAGAGGAGAGCATGAAGGCCCCTTTTGCTGCTGGGGTGTTGCTCATCCATTTCTCTGGCTTTTCTCCTGCTCGTCCTAGACTACAAGCAGGGTTCAGTGCGTTTGTAATGAGTATTTCTGCCCATCCCCACACTCAAGCCGACACCAGCACTGGGGGCTAAGCCCTGCCGCCTGGCATGTTGCATTTTGCAAGCTGGGAAACAAACCCGGGAGAGAGATGTGGGGTCGTCAGCACTTTGGGGTCGCTATCCAGAATGATGTGTATGACAACCAGCCAGTTAGGAGCCCAGGTCTGTTGCTCATAAACTTGAGTTTCCATGCAGTTTTAATCACGAGAAATGTGAGGGGGGAAAATATTTCCTATGGCAACACGGAGGACTCTGACTCTTCAGCGGTGAACTTTTGCTCACAGTGACTGAGCCGGTCTTGCTCGCCAGCGGATCAGAAACCCCAGGGGTCCTGAATGAGACGAGGGTGCTGTTAGCCCAAGACAAATTCCACTTTGGCTAACGACACTTGGTCTGCCCGACTTCCTCTTGTTATTTCCATTGGCTGTAGCATTCCTCGCCGCCTGTCCTGAAAGTCTGTGTGTGGAGACAGGTTCAGGGGTCGCAATAAGCCAGGATACGGTAGCATATATTGTCAGCACTTCTCTGGTGGTCCCATCTGTTTCTGCCAGGCTTCAATCTTTCATTACAATATTAAGTTTCTAACCCTTATTGCAGCAGAGAAAGCCTGGAGTGTGCATCTTCCTCACCCTGCAAAGGTGCAGACTGCTCTCCGGGAGACGTCTGAGTTGACCTATTGATTTCTCTCTAATTTCTCACAGCAATAATAGAAATGCGAACACCACTACTAATTTTGTGCCCGCCCCATCCCTTTAGTGCCAACATATGCCTGCCCAAGGCGGAGTGGCAGGGACAGCCCTGGATGGACTCCACTTGCAGTGCCCTCCAGAGCAGTGCTTTCCTCCCAGTAACCCAAAGCTGACACCGAAATACATCCACTTCAGCGGCCAGTCCCGAAAGCCCCTGGGATAAGCTATCGCTGAAGGTTTGCGTGGATCAGGGCTTCCAGCTGTAAAATGCTTTCAGACCTTTTGGCCTGGAAGGTGCAACTTTTTGGAAGATTGTTGTCATTAAATTGGGCTGTGCTCGTATATCTGTGGGAGTTCAGTCTAGAGCATTTCGACTTGATGAAAGGGGAAAATAGGTTGTGCAGCAACTACTTCTCCTCAGAACGTCATCTGCAAACCGTTTAAGACATTTTTGCGCGAACAGACAAAAGATGACTACCGTATGTTTAACTTCTCATGTTCCTTCACAGAAACCCAGTATAGTTACTCTATTGTACATGAATATAAACCATTTCCTCTGGAAGGACCATGCTAGAGACAATATAGTGTTTCTTTATAATCCTGAAGGTGTCGATACATGGCCTCATTCCTTGCATTGCTGCGTTTGGTTCACTGTGGGTCTCTTAATAGCTGTAAGAAAACTTCTGCAATAACCTAGCTATTTTCCTGAAGCCTAAATCGTCTGTGCTGAGGTTTTGCATTAGCTAACATTTGAAAAAGAAGCTGTCAACACAATTTTTCCTCTGAAATTGATAGTTGTGCAGCTATACTTGAAGGCCCAACAGTTCAGCAAGCCCGGGTAAGTAGCAGGGAACAAGTCCCTACAGCTCAGCTCCCGCCATGTGTTTGCGATCTATCTTTCCCTTTTTCGCAAACACGTCTCGTTCAGCGTGTGGCATCCAATGCATGTGAAGCGCATACAGCCGATTCCCCCAGGGTATGTGGGGCCAACTGGTAACACACAGATATCTGCGCTGCTTGCGTTTGCCATGTCCCTGTCCCTGCGGTCCTTCTGTCTCACCCTCGGAAGCTGCGATGCAGCCGAGAGCAATCCCACCCCAATATGGGTTCTGAGCACCCCAAGTACTTGCTGTTTGGGAGATGACAGGGTGCCAGGACTGCAAAGGCGGCTACCGCACCAGACACTACAGACAGAAGACTTTGCTAGTTCATGCCCCGCAAACTCTGTGTCAACAGCTTCTAAAACCATAGAGGTTTGGTACTTACAGGTGGGCCTGAAAGAGAGAAGAAAAATAAAAAATAATTAATTTTTAATGCAATAAATCCAACAAGAAGGGCTAGATAAACGCATTGTACACATTACATCCTAATGCCACTCCCATTTGCTGATGCAATTCTACCACCTCCCTGCTAATTAGTTAAGGTATCCCCACAATTAGCAGCACTGCTTACAGTCACCACAAGTGTAGGGCAGCTTCAGAAAGCCCTGTGTTGGGAAGGCCATGTAAGTCAGGCTCTTAACACTGTTACACTCATTTTTGGTCCTTTGGCACACAGGGGTCCCCTCCCTGAGTCTGACACCGCTGAGCATGGGGGACTCATTAGTTATGTGACTCTCCCTCACATCCTGCCCACTCCTCGGGGTTGAGAAAGTTGAATGTGGGGAGGCAAGAGCACTTTTGCTGCTAAAATGCCTACACATTTGCCACCAGCATTGGTGATCTTGCAAACCCTCAAATCCTTTGGGTTTCTTTTATTTTGGAAAGCTTTTTGGAAGCTGCCGGTGTGCAGCACTGCATCTTCCTTGTACAAATCCGTTGTACAGTATATATTAGGGCTTAAACAGCACATTTCTTTCATCAGTTCCCAGAAAATTCCTCAAAATCCTGACAGATATTGTGTGTGTGTAAAGAAACCCCTGGACTCGCTATTTTGTGGTTTCCTCTCTGTGGGAGAAGCGAGACACACCGTACAACTGTCAGGGGTTTCTACATTTTCCATACTTTATAGACAAGCTGTTTTCTTTTTTTTTGTCTCTTTACATAAAGTGCCAAGAAGTAAGACTAAGCAGTATAACAGGTGAGCTGACAGATAACAGGCAGCAACCTCTTCTTTGCACGGGAGGCAGATGTCACAGTGAGCACCTGCAGAATACGTCGTCATCCTGAAAATGCCGCTGGCTGAAAGTCCATAAAAGAAACTGGAGACTTTGGATGAACAAACATTTTCCACCCTGGAAATCTCTCACTTAGCGTGACTCCTTCATACGGGGAACTACGGCAAATGGTTTGGCTATCAAGCTTTGGTGACCTAAAATTGCACTGTTAAATGCCACTCTTAGACTTTTGCTCAGCTTTCATCATGGTTGATCAAAAGGAGGTTATCTCTACAGGCTACCTTTTGGTTAAAATAAAAAAAATAATAAACTTTAGCACCTTCATGGTGACCGACAGTGCTAAGGTCAACATTCACAGCCAGAAGGCGCAACAACTCAAAACAACTCGACCCAAATTTAGGACAGGAGCTCAGGGGGGACCCAGATTTGGTTGGTCTGGCAACTGCCTGTCACTGGTGTTGGTGCTGAGGTTGCTATCCTACCTGGCATGCCAAGTCTAAACAACAAAAGGGTTTCTGATCAGAGAGTTCATTTTTGAGGGCAAGGTCAGACTCAAATCCAGGAATCCTAGTTTATGCCAGACTGAGAGGAAAAAAAAAAAAGTTTTCTGAGTCTGGCGTGGACGAAAATAAAGTTCTGTGAGAGATCTGTTTTGGAGAGATTTTGTTTCAGAGTAAGCACCCTGTCACAAGGTCAATGCTTATAGCTTGCCAATACACGGACTTTATTTCCATTAGCAACACTACAGACCCTTAATAACCCGCCTACCCGTCTGCGTGGGTTTGGGGCACTCGTTGATTGCATGAACCAAACCATTTAGCTAACGTTGAAAGAAAAATTTAAAGGCAAGCAAACCCTGAGCCATCCCTGCCCTTCCAGACCAAACGCGACCAGACAGCAGCACAGCCTGTAATGGTATTGCAATACTGCTGAGAGAAAACATAAGCTTTTGTTTGCTCCAGAAGCTACATCCGCAGAGCAGAGTAAATCAGCGATGCCGGCAGCTCTGGGCCCATCAGGCCACGCACCCCACACAGATCAAAGGCAGGAGGCATATTGGAAGCCTATCTTTGTTATATGCCCTCTATAAAATTAATGGTTATGTGAAGGGGGTGCTGCACAGTCTTGTGTAAACACACATCAGTGAGCTGCGGGGACACAGCCTTGGCTGCAATAAGTCAATCGGTAGAGACCATCCAGGGACTGGGCTTCAAATGCTGGGACCATCCACGTGACCCAGGAGGAAGCAAAGCCCTTGGATATAGTAACTTCTGAAAGCAACATCGTCTTGCATAGGCTGGAGGAGGAGCAGGGAAGATGTCCCAAGGACAGTGGGGAGGGAGGAGGCACTGCTGGGTAAGCTGTTGCAAAGCACCGGGGATTTTACAAAGTGAAATAATGCTTCAGCAAAGTGGATTTGTCATGTTCTGTCACGGTGATTAACGAGAAGGCTGAGCAGAGCTTCTAAAGAGGCTCAGTCTTTAATATAACAAGAAGTAATTTAATGCACATTAGAGGAAAAAGCGGGCAAAGGAGGGAGGGGATCCTCACGCCTGCGCTCTCAACCGCTCTAACCACTGGTGACCGAGCTGAGACAGCCTCTCCTGGGCAGCGCCAGCCGTGCTGCGCGCAGTGCACCAGGCTTGCCCGTGGCTGGGGTCTGGCAGAGCTGCCCTGGCCTGGTCAGGGATGCTGGCAACCCTGCAAGCCAAGAGAGCAAGCCTACAAGTCGACCAGGCTGCACAGAACCCTTCATGAAAGCAACGTGAACTGCAACAGAGTCACCGCAACACCACTGCATGTTGTCCCCCATGCTTGCTGGCTGCTGCAGTCCCAGCCAGTTTGGGGCAGTTGTCTAGAAAGAGGCCTGATTGCCACCAGGTGGGCCAGGTCTCGATGGTGGTGAACTCCAAAGAGCTCCGGCCACAAATGCAAATCACACCTATGGGGGTTCCTCCTCTCCCATGTTTACAGCAGGTGAGACAGAGGCAGTGCTGCTTAGGAGATTAGCTAGATCCCCTTTCCATAAACAGCCAGCAGAGAAGGGACAACGAGTCAACAGAGCAGGGATCAAAGCTACCGTGAACATTTCCAAGCCCATTTCATAGCTAAGCCCAGCCAGCAGACAGACCCAGAGCTTCCAGATCACCAAATTCCTCAGCCTTGCGCAGAACAGCGAGCCCATATTTGTAATTAGCACCTCCAGATGCTGTGTGTTTTGAACGTGACCTTGCCAGGACCAGAGCAATGCTGGTGCTGGTGTACAGGCTGCAGCATGACCATCCGCCCACAACGGGCAGCTCAGGAAGCATCCCTCCGTGCCGGTGTCTTGCTGAAAGGCACTGGAGGACTGTAAGCGACTGAGATCGCTGTTTATCCAGCTGCGGGGCTTGTTGAGCAGCAGGGGAGGAGGAGGGGACAGAGCAAACATGTCGGGAGTGGCCGAGTAGGAGGAAGCAGCGGCCTCCTGCAAAGAGGAGACCTCCAGAGCACCTTTGAAAATGAACATTGAGAAAACAAAGAATTCTTGTGGGGGTACCCAGGGTCCCTCCAAACATATGGCCTCTGGAAATTAGCACCATCTGCACTGTCCCTTCTCAGCTGCTCTGGCTTTTATGCAGATAGAAACTTTCCTTAAAGAAGCTCTGCCTTTCCTGTAGCCCAAGTGCAAATGAGCGCAGCCATGGTCTGCAGATCCACCTTATTGCACATATAGAGGGGGCACACTTGTGAAGAACAGCAGGGCCATGCCACAGAGCCCTCTGCTCACTTGTCCTTCCCCATGGCCCGTTCAACCAGTGACTATCTAAAACAGAACTGCAATGACCCCTTTTCCCTCACCCACACAAAGAGAGAAAAAGCCACCCTCCACGCTGTAGCTTCTTCGGGCTCAGAAGAGGGGATGCTTAGCTTTGTAAGTGGGTCATGTTTATGCTAATCTGGAAAGTCCCATGTCCCAGAATATCAGATCTTAAAAGCTGGACAGTATGGGGGTTCCTCCTCTCCCATGTTTACAGCAGGTGAGACAGAGGCAGTGCTGCTTAGGAGATTAGCTAGATCCCCTTTCCATAAACAGCCAGCAGAGAAGGGACAACGAGTCAACAGAGCAGGGATCAAAGCTACCGTGAACATTTCCAAGCCCATTTCATAGCTAAGCCCAGCCAGCAGACAGACCCAGAGCTTCCAGATCACCAAATTCCTCAGCCTTGCGCAGAACAGCGAGCCCATATTTGTAATTAGCACCTCCAGATGCTGTGTGTTTTGAACGTGACCTTGCCAGGACCAGAGCAATGCTGGTGCTGGTGTACAGGCTGCAGCATGACCATCCGCCCACAACGGGCAGCTCAGGAAGCATCCCTCCGTGCCGGTGTCTTGCTGAAAGGCACTGGAGGACTGTAAGCGACTGAGATCGCTGTTTATCCAGCTGCGGGGCTTGTTGAGCAGCAGGGGAGGAGGAGGGGACAGAGCAAACATGTCGGGAGTGGCCGAGTAGGAGGAAGCAGCGGCCTCCTGCAAAGAGGAGACCTCCAGAGCACCTTTGAAAATGAACATTGAGAAAACAAAGAATTCTTGTGGGGGTACCCAGGGTCCCTCCAAACATATGGCCTCTGGAAATTAGCACCATCTGCACTGTCCCTTCTCAGCTGCTCTGGCTTTTATGCAGATAGAAACTTTCCTTAAAGAAGCTCTGCCTTTCCTGTAGCCCAAGTGAGCAAATGAGCAGCCATGGTCTGCAGACAGGATGAGTCCACCTTATTGCACATATAGAGGGGGCACACTTGTGAAGAACAGCAGGGCCATGCCACAGAGCCCTCTGCTCACTTGTCCTTCCCCATGGCCCGTTCAACCAGTGACTATCTAAAACAGAACTGCAATGACCCCTTTTCCCTCACCCACACAAAGAGAGAAAAAGCCACCCTCCACGCTGTAGCTTCTTCGGGCTCAGAAGAGGGGATGCTTAGCTTTGTAAGTGGGTCATGTTTATGCTAATCTGGAAAGTCCCATGTCCCAGAATATCAGATCTTAAAAGCTGGACAGTATTAGAGTGGGTCAGTGTGGTGTGAGACCTTCTGCTGATGGCAGAGATATCCTCCACCTTTGGAGACAGCAATGCTCTCTGGACTGATAGGATCATTGAAACAATCCCATCCGTTTAAG